TGTCGCCCAGACTGGAGTGCAGTGGCCGCTCCCGGCCACCGCAGCCTCGACCTGCTGGACTCCGGCGATTCTTCCGCCTCAGTCTTCCAAGTAGCCGGAATTACAGGCTGCGCACTACCACGCCCAGCTAATTTTTTGATTTATTGTAGACATGAGGTCTTGCTGCCCAGGCAGGTCTCGAACCTGCAGGCTAAGGCAATCCACTCACCTCAGCCTCCCAAAGGTGTGGGATTACAGGCTGAGCCACCGAGCCCGGCTTAGATGGAAGTTTTTAAAAAAAATATTATTTGAGGCCAGGTGTGGTGGCTCACACCTGTAATCCCAGCACTTTGGGAGGCCGAGGCGAGAGGATTAACTGGGCTCAGGGGTTCAAGACCAGCCTGGGCAACTTGGTGAGACCTCATCTCTACAATAAATAAAAAAATTAGCTGGGCATGGTGGCGCACGCCTGTAGTTACAGCTACTTGGAATGCTGAGGCAAAAGGATCGCCTGAGCCTAGCAGGTCAAGGCTTCAGTGGCCATGAGCGTGCCACTGCACTCAAGCCTGGGCGACAGAGTGAGACTCCAACTAAAAAATATATATATATTATTTGAATGATGAACCTAAAGAAAAGGTCCATGTAAGTATATTCTGAATCCTTCTGGGGACAAGCAGAGCCTCAGGTTGGCACTGAGGTCCTGCCGGCGTGAGGTCCTTCACAAAGCACGTGTTCCCACTGGCCATCTGCGCACAGGCCTAGGACATGCTCATGTCTGTTCTGCATGGAAGCTTAGAATCAGCATTTGGAGATCCCACAAGCTATGATGGTGTTAGTGGCTGAGTTGTATCCCCCCAAAATTCATATGTTCCTGTCCTAACCCCCAGTACCTCGGAATGCAATTGTATTTGGAGACTGGGCTTTTAAAGGAGTGATTAAAATAAAATGAAGTCACATGGGTAGACCCTAATCCAATAGAAGAGGAGATTATAAGAAGAGGAGATTAGACAGACACACGGAGGGACAACCACACGTGACACAGAAGAAGACGTATGAGCCAGTCAAGGAGAGAGGCCTTGACCCTGCAAGCACCTTGATCTTGGATTTCCAGCCAATCTGCAGTATTTCGTTATGGCAGGCCTAGTCAACTAGCATGTAGGCAACCAACTTAAAGCTTTACCAGTGATTTTCTCGACTTTGGCATCCAGCCTAATCAGGACTTTCATTGGTTTTCCAGTTGATATGCAGAAGTAGTTGCAGGGTTTTTTAGCAGCTCAACTTTTCAGTTACAGAATTCTCTTCCAGAAATGACAGGAGATGCTTTATTGAAACTTAGTATATGACAACTTGAGTGTATTACCTTATTATATATATATATATATATATATATATTTTTTTTTTTTTTTTTTTTTTTTTTTGAGTTAGAGTTTCACTCCGTTGCCCAGGCTGGAGTGCAGCAGCACGCTCACAGCCACTCCCCACAGCTCTGGGGATTCTTCCACCTCAGCCTTCCAAGTAGCCAGCACTACAGGCGCACTCTACCACGCCCAGCTAATTTTTTTATTTATTGTAGAGTTGAGGTCTCGCCAAGTTGCCTGGGCTTGTCTCAAACCCATGGGCTCAGGCAGTCCATTCACCTCGGCCTCCCTAAGTGCTGGGATTACAGGCTGAACCATCGAGCACAGCCTAGCTTATTAGTTTTAAAATAATGAATCATTTTCCAATCTTTGAGTCAAATATTCACAGAAATTCTAAATCAGTGGAATCCAGGGTTTCCTTGGAACAGTTTTTCATCAGTTTCCCACAATAGGAGTCTAAGCATCTTCACTGACAAGAAGCCAGTTGTTGCTGGAGCTCAGACAGCAGAGGACAGAGCAGAGACATGGGGAGGCAGGATCATGTTCCAGCCCTGCCCTCTACCCAGGCTACTCAGAACTAGTCTCGTGGGACTATGGGTCAGTTAGACCTCTGTAGACCAGCGTCAGTATCACATCATTTACAATGCCTTGTTTGTCTGTTCTGAGTTCGGGATAGCCATCATTTACACAGATTTTTGGAGCTTGAAAGTAACAACAAAAACTCAAAGCACTTTTTATTTTTTTTGAGTTGGAGTCTCTCTCTGTCGCCCAGGCTGGAGGGTAGTGGCACGCTCCCGGCCACCGCAGCCTCGACCTGCCGGGCTCCGGCGATCCTTCCGCCTCAGCCTTTCCAGTAGCTGGAACTCCAGGCATGCACTACCATGCCTGGCTAATTTTTTTATTTATGTAGAGATGAGTTCTCGCCAAGTTGCCCAGGGGGGTCTTGAACCCGCGGGCTCAGGCAATCCACTCACCTCA